TAATTATAATAATAACAATAGCTAATAATTGTAACAATAAAAGTAATAATAACAATAACAATGATAATAACAATAAAAAAATAATAATAATAATAATAATAACAATAACACTAATAATAACCATAACAATATCAATAATTATAATAACAACAATAACTAATAATTATAACAATAAAAGTAATAATAACAATAACAATGATAATAACAATAATAAAATAATAATAATAATAATAATAATTAAATAATAATAATAATAATAATAATAACAATAATAATAATAACTATAACAAGAACAATAATAATGAAAACAATAATAACAATAGAATTAATACTAACAATAACATAAATAATAATAATATCAATGTAAATGACAATATCATTAATAACAATTACAATTACAACTATAATAACAATTATAACAATAACTATTATAACTGTAATAACAAAAAAAATAATTATAACAATAACAATATCAATAACAATAATAATAATAATAACAAGAACAACAATAATAACATTAACAATATTAATAATAATAACAATAAGAAAAATAATACTGATAACAATGACAACAGTAAAACTAATGGCAATAAAAATAATAATACTAATAATAATAATAGTAATAATATTAATAATAATAAGAATAATCATAACAATAATAATAATAATAATAATAATTATAACACTAATATTAAAAATAATTATAATAATATTAATACTAATAATATTAATAATAATAATAATAACAATAGCAATAATAATATTAATGATAATATCATTAATAATAATGATAACAGCAATAATAATAATAATAACAATAACAATAATAATAAAAATAACAATGACAATAATAATAATAATATCAATAATAATAACAATAGCAATAACAATAATAATAATAATAGTAATAATAATAAGAACAGTAACAATAATAATAACAATTCTTTTTTATGATGGTCTGAGAATGCCTGTCTTTACGCACTAACCCAAGGACCCCGCCCGACAGAGGCGCCCTTCACTATTTGAATCCCCCATTGAGGTCCGTGGAGTGTCTGGCTCACCTTTGGAATAGGCATTATATTGTAAATTCATGCCTATCTTCGTGTCATAGTGAGACTATACCGGCACCGACTTGTGCCATTACTTCCGGATGGCGCCACTGCATCAGGTCCCATTACGGTACTTTCTCTACGGCTCTAGGGGGCAGGAGCTTGGAGCAACGTTTGGGCCATGTCTATGTGCCACCCATCTCCATCTTTTTTCTATGCAAGATGGTCCTAACGTATCGGGCCACCTTGTTCCACTCCTTCTGACCTCGGAGCATTTTCTCGACAATGTTGTATGGCGAGATTTTTCCGAGGTCTTGCTCCAAGGCGAGTCGTTCGACGCTCCACCTAACACATTTGAAGAATGTGTGGTGGGCGTCGTCGACGGTCGAGTCGCCATAGGGGCAGTTGCCGTAAGCTACATTCCTCATTTTTGCGATTTAGGAGCAGAACAGACCATGCACTGTCAAAAATTGAGTGCGGTATAAGACTACATCCCCCACCTCTCTGTTTAGCCAGCTGTCTAGCCGACTGATGAGTTGGACCGTCCATCTGCCCCGATGCTCCTGTTCCCATCTGTTGTGCCAGGTCTCGATGCTGGTAGACCTGGCGAACCTTGATGCCCTCTCCTTTCCCTGAACACATCTTTGCTGGAGCACGAATTGTCTCTCTTGGGCTAATAGATTGATCGGTATTACCCTCGCAACCACTAGCACCGCGGGCTCAGAGACAGTGCGGTAAGAGCACACTGTTCGGACGGCGCCACTCCTCTGTACCACGGCTATGCGCTTGTGGTATTTCTATGTCTGCAGCTCTTCGGCCCATACATCCGCACCGTACAGCATCACTGCTTTGGCGGAACGCTTTGGAAGTCTCCTCATGCACGGCCGGGGACCATTGACATTGGCCATAAGCATGCCCAGTGAGGCTACTACTTTTGCCGCTTTGTCGGCTGCCCTGAGTATGTGCTCGCCATAATTATGGTTTTTGTCTAACATTATACCCAGATACTTGACAGCCGACTTATCCTGGAACTCCTTGTCTCCTACAATGAAGCTGCGCAAGGTGCTGTTGGGCTTCTTTGTAAGTAGTACAATCTCTGTCTACTGGACTGTCAGGAATAGCTCTTGGTCTTCCATCCAGGAGATGACTCTGCGCATGACCTGGTTGAGCAGAAGCTGTGCCCCCTCTGTGCCTCTTGTGGTTATGACATCTGCAAGGTCATCTGCGTACCCAACCAAGAAAGCGCCTTCAGGGACTGCCATACGTAGGATACCGTCGTATAAAATATTCCAAATATCCGGTCCCAGTATGGAGCACTGGGCTGCCCCCGATGTTAACTCCAAGCTTTTTGGACCATCGCCAGCATTGTATTCTAGAAAGCGCTCGTTCAGATAGTCTCCGAGTATTCGGAGTAGGTACTCCGGGACAGTGAAATTACGTTCGAGCGCTTCCATTGCCAAGTCCCACCTGACGGAGATGAAGGCATTTCTCACGTCTAAGGTGGCCAGCAGGCACAAAGGTCGAGTTCGATGATTCCCTCTCTCCATCATTTTAGCTGCTGTGGCAACCCCCTTCACTGTGTGGATGGTGGAGAGGCCGGATCGAAATCCGTAATGGCGGGTGGCATGATCCCCCGCTGTCTTCACGGCTGCGAGCAGCCTTGGTCTTAGAAGCTTCTCCAGGAGTTTTCCAGCAGTATCGAGCATACAAATAGGCCTGTATGATGAGGCTGCCCCTACTGGACCCTTGCCCCTGCTAATGAGCACAAGCCTCGCTTTCTTCCATGGAGCGGGGAAGATGCCCCCCCTGAGGCACATGTTATACATGTTCAGCAAGAGCTCAGGGTGACTTTGCGCGACGACTTTGATTATTTCTGCTGGAAGTCCGTCTGGACCTGGAGCTTTCTTGTTCCGCATAGAAGATGCGGTCCTGAGTAGCTCTTCTACCGTGAATTGCGTTACCTCGATTATGCCGGGAGAAACCAAGCTGATCTCTCTCTTCGGCTGTGAGGGGAATAGAGTATGCATCCAACGTATGTGATCCAACGTCCTCGCGTCATGAGGGGTCCCTTGCGTGTTAGTCCCCAGCTTGCGAGTGACGATGAGATACCCTAATCCCCACGGATTCTAGTCGACATCCAGGCACAGCTCCTTCCAGCACCGTCGTTGACTGGCATTGATGGTCCTCTTCAGGGCTTTCTTGGCCGCTTGGTAGTCTGCGGCCAAAGGAGCAGCGTCGTGGTCGCGTCTCCTCGATCATTGTGCTAAACGGCGTAGCCTTAAGCACCTCTTACGAAGATCTGCAATATCGTTCGTCCATCAGTATACAGGGCGCCTGTGCCGTTTCGTGCCATTCTTTGGCACCGTTATCGCGCAAGCCTTTTGGATGAACTACATTGATTTGGTGTTGCTGCGCTTAATAATCTGGCTTGTGCGAGTGGCGATAGACTCGCGGAAGTACTTTGTTGGGATCTCCATCCTTCCGTCTATGACCGAAGACCGCCTTTCTCGATCCATTTTTGCAATGTTCCAAGAGGTCGCTTTACACTTGTCACGGGTGGCCTATCTATCATGAACATCGAATAGGATGTACTGATGATCGCTCTCGGTATAATCCTCGATCACCTGACAGTCAGCGACTCTTGCCACAAGGTGTTCCTTGGTTAGAGAGACATCCGGGATCGTCTCTCTATTGTCAGTCTTGCGGAAGGTTGACGTCGATCCTGTGTTGAGTACTGATAGCTCAAGTCTCGACACCACCTCCATGATTCGTCTTCCTCTGGAGTCCGGCCTAGTCTCCCCACATTCCAAAGCTTTGGCATTGAGGTCTCCAGCAATAATGAAATCCCGTTGCATTTCCAGCAGCGCGTCTTCCAAATTGTACTGTTTAGTCTGGAAGTCGCCTATCCAGTCGTTCGGGATGAGATAAATGTTGACATATGTCGTTAAGTTATGTCTCACCCAAACGTAACCGCGTCCGGATTTTTGATCCGACACATGTATCCATCGGGGATCTGGGATCAAGATGGCCGCGGTGCCCAATTGGTCTGCGTACCATCCTACTCCTGCTCTGTCCTGGTACTGTTCGCTGATTAGAACGATATCAGCTTTTTTCTCAGAGCAGAGCTGGGTCAGTAGGTGGTGCGCCGTCCTGCTCCTATTAAGGTTACCCTGAAGTACTCTCATACTTTTTTCTACTTCTTTGCTGTTGCAAGGGCCTCCTGAAAAGCTTTGCAGGCCCTTGATCCTGCCAGGTGCTTCCTAGTTTCAACTCCTCTATATGCGCAAAGAAGCAATTAGGCTCGCTCACCTAGCACTCATTGATCTTGTGCCCCAAAGATCTTTATAATTGGATTAATCAATCCACGCAGTCCAGGTGGTGGTCGCTTCCGCTAAAATGATGGAGCGAGGCAATCATCGAACTCGACCTTTGTGCCTGCTGGCCACCTTAGACGTGAGAAATGCCTTTAACTCCGTCAGGTGGGACCTGGCAAGGGAAGCGCTCGAACGTAATTTCGGCGTTCCGAAGTACCTACTCCGAATTATTGACGATAATTTAAACGAGCGCTTCCTAGTGTACAACACGATTGATGGTCCAAGAAGCTTGGAATTGACATCGGGGGCAGCACAGGGCTCCATACTGGCACCGAATATATGGAATATATTCTACGACGGTATCTTTCCTATGGTAGTCCCAGAAGGTACTTTCTTGGTTGGGTACGCAGACGACATTGCAGTTGTCATAGCCGCAAGAGACACGGAGGAGGCAAAGTTGCTGCTCAACCTGGTCATGCGGAGAGTTACCTCGTGGATGGAAGACCACAAGATATCTCTAGCAGCCTAGAACACAGAGATCGTGCTATTTACGAGGAAGCTCATCAGCACCTTGCGCAGCTTCATTGTAGGAGACACAGCGGTCCAGACTAAGTCGACTGTCAAATATCTGGGTATAATGCTCGGCAGAAACCTTAATTATGTCAAGCACAAAATCAGGGCAGCCTACAAGGCGGCAAAAGTAGTAGCCTCACTGGGCATGCTCATGGCCAATGTCGATAGTCCCCAGCCGCGCATGAGGGCACTACTGATGCGTGCCGCTGAAGCAGTGATGCTGTACGGTGCGGAAGTATGGGCCGAGGCGCTGCGAAAACAGAAATACCGCAAGCGCATAGCCGCGGTACAGAGGAGGGGCGCCCTCCGAATCGCGTGCTCTTACCGAACAGTCTCAGAGCCGGCAGTGCTAGTTGTCGCCTGGATAATACCGATCGATCTATTAGCCCAGGAGAGGAAATTCGTCTTCCAGCAAAGGTGTTTCGTGGGAAAAGAACGGGCATTAAGGCTCGCCAGGTCTATCAGCATCAAGGCCTGGCAAAGTGGATGGGAGCAGGAACGTAGGGGCAGATGGACTGCTCGACTCATCAGTCAGCTAGACAACTGTATAAATCGGGAGGTGGGAGAAGTTGATTTCTACCTCACCCAATTCCTGAGAGGGGAAGGCCTGTTCCGCTCCTACCCGGCTAGAATGAGTAAGGTAGCAGACGCCAACTGCCCCTATGGGGACTCGATCAATGACGACGCCCACCACACGGTATTTTATGTACTCAGTGGAGCGCCGAACGACTAGCCTTAGAACAAGACCTTGGAGACATCTCGCCGGACAACGTCGTCGATAAAATGCTGCGTGGACAGGAGTGGAACAAGGTGGCCTGGTACGTCAGGTCAATCTTAAGCAAGAAGAAGAAGGAGATCGGGGGCCCATAGTAGAGCTACCAACGATGCTCATGGTTCCTGCCACGTAGAGCCGAAGAGGGTGTCCAGTTATAGAACGAGAAGCAGTGACGCCATCCTAAAGTAATGCCTCATGGCGGTGCCGGGATGGATTTACTATGCCACTAGGATGGATATGAGTTTAGTCGGTAGTGCCTATTCCAACGGTGAGCCCGACCTTCTAGGGTCTTTAAACGGGACACAAATAGTGAAGGGTCCCTCTGGCGGGCAGAGACCCTGGTTTAGTGGGTAACGTTTGCCATTATCAGACCATCAAAAAAAGATAGTTATTGTTCTTATGATTGTTATTGTTATGATTACTATTATTGTTACTGTTATTATTATTATTACTGTTATTGTTATAGTTATTGTTTTTATTATTTTTATTATTATTATTATTATTGTTATTGTTATTATTTTTGTCATTGTTATTCTTATTACTATTTTGTAGTTATTTTTATTAATATTGTTATTGTTACTATTCATATTGTTGTTATTATTATTATTATTATTACTGTTATTGTTATTATTAATATTATTGTTATTTTTATTATTATTATTATTGCTATTGTTACTATTCTTATTAATGTTATTGTTATTATTATTATTATTGTTATTGTAATTATTAAAATTACTGTTATTGTAATTATTATTATTATTGTTATAGTTATTGTTATTATTATTGTTAATATTATAATTATTATTATTTTTGTTATTATTATTATTATTGCCATTGATATTATTATTGTTATTGTTATTGCTGTTATTAATATTATTGTTATTGTCAATATTATTATTATTGTTATTGTTATTATTATTCTATTACTGTTATAATTATTATTGTTTCTGTTATTATTATTATTAACGTCATTGTAATTATTACTGTTATTGTTATTGTTGTTATTAAAATTATTGTTATTGTTATCATTAATTTTATTGTTATTGTTATTATTATTGTAATTGGTATTGTCATTATTATTTTTATAGTTATAGTTATTGTTATTATGATTGGTATTGTTATTATTATTATAATTGTCACTGTAGTTTTTATTATTATTGTTATTATTATTATTATTATTGTTATTGTTATTTTATTGTTATTATTATAATTATTATTATTCTTATTGTTATTCCTATTAATATAATTATTAAAACTGTTATTGTTATTATTATTGTTATTTTTATTCTTTTTATTATTGTTATTGTTATTGTTATTATTATTGTTATTGTTATTATTACTGTTATTGTCATTATTATTACAATTATTTCTGTTATCACTATTATTATTGTTATTGTTATTATTACTAATATTGTTATTATTATTATTATTGATATTGTCATTAATACTATCATTATTATTATGGTTATTATTATTATTATTGTTATTGTTATTATTATTATTATTGTTATTGTTATTTTTTTATTACTACTATTGTTATTGATATTATTATAATTTTTGTTATTGTTGTTATTATAAATTTTGTTATAGTTATTATTACTATTGTTATTGTTATTGTTATTATTATTGTTATTGTTATTATTTTTGCTATAGTTATCATTATTATTTTGGTTTTTGTTGTTATTATTAGCTTTGTTACTGTTAGTATTATTATTGTAATTGCTATTGTTATTATTATTGTTACTATTATCATTATTTTTAATGATGTTGCTATTATTTTTGTTACTGTTATTATTATTGTTTTTGTTATTATTATTATTATTGTTTTGTTATTATTATTGTTATTGTTATTATTATTATTATTGTTATTATTATTATTATTGTTATTGATATTGTTATTGTTATTGTTAATACTATTATTATTGTTATTGGCATTATTATTGTTACTGTTATTATTATCATTGTTATTGTTATTATTATAATTATTGTTATTGTTATTATTATTGGTATTGTTATTATTATTGTTATTCTTATTATTATTATTGTGTTATTATTATTATTGTTATTAATATTATTGTTTTTGGTATTGTTATTATTATTGTTATAGTTATTATTATTATTATTTTCTCTATTGTTACTAGTATTATAATTGGTGTCGTTATTATTATTATTATTAGTACTGTTATTGTTATTATTATTGTTATTTTATCTATTATTATTATTTTTATAGTTATTATTATTGTCATTGTTATTGTTATCACTATTATTATTATAATTGTTAATACTATTATTATTGTTATTGGTATTATTATAGTTATTGTTATTACTCATATTGATATTGTTATTATTATTATTATTATTTTGTTATTCTTATTATTATTGATATTGTTATTATTATTATTATTATTACTGTTATTATTAATATTGTTGTTATTGTTACTATGATTGTTATTGTTATTATTATTATTATTGTTACTGTTATTATTATTATTATTGTTATTGTTATTAATATTATTATTATTATTATAGTTATTGTTATTATTTTTGTCATTGTTATTGTTATTGTTATTGTTATTGTTATTGTTATTGTTATTATTTTTGATATTGTTTTTATTATTATTATTGTTATTGTTATTAATATTATTATTGTCATTATTATTATTATTGACATTGTTATTGTTATTATTATTATTATTGTTATTATTATTATTATTGTTATTGTTATTATTATTATTATTGTTATTGTTACTCTTATTATTATTGTTATTGTTATAATTATTGTAATTGTTATTATTATAGTTATTGTTTTTTGTCTACCAGCAAAGGTGTGTCTTGGAAAAGGAGGACGCATCAAGGCTCGCGAGGTCTATCTGCATCATGATCTGGCAAAGCAAGTGGGAGCAGGAGCGTAAGGGCAAATGGATTGCCCGACTCATCAGTCAGCTGGACATCTGGATAAATCGACAGGCGGGAGAAGTTGATTTCTACCTCCCCGAGTTCCTGACAGGGTAAGGTCTGTTTAGCTTCTACCTGGTAAGAATGATGAAGGTACTAGACGCCAGTTGACCCTGTGGATACTCAATAAACGACGACGCCCACTACACGTTTTTTTATGTACTCGTTGGAGTGCCGAACGACTAGCCTTGTTACAATACCTCGGAGACATCTCGCCGCATATCGTCGTCGAAATAATGCTGTGAGAGTCGAAGGAGTGGAACAAGGTGGCCTGATACATCAGGTCAATCTTAAGCAAGAAAAAGAAAGAGATGTGTGGCCATTAGTAGCGCTACCCACTTTTTCCTGGTTCCTGCCACGTAAAGCAGATGAGGGCGCCCAGCTAAGGGACATGTAGCAGTGGCGCCAACCTGATGTAATGTAACGTGGCGATGCCGGGATGGTTTTACTATTCCACTAGCATGGATATGAGTTTAGACGGTAGGGGCATTTCCAACGCTGAGCCCGGCACTCCATGGACTTTAAGGGGAACCCAAATGGTGAATGGTCCCTCTGGCGGGCAGGGTCCCTAGGTTAGTGCGTAAAGGTTTGCATTCTCAGACCATAAAAAAAAAATCATTGTTTATTTTATTATTATTGATATTGTATTATTAATATTATTGTTATTCTTACTATTATTATTATTGCTATTATTATTATTATTGTTATTGTCATTAATATTATTATTATTATTGTTATTGTTATTATTATTATTTTTATTACTGTTATTATTATTAATATAGTTATTGTTATTATTATTATTATTGCTATTGTTATTATTATTATAATATTTGGTATTGTTATTACTATTGCTATTGTTATTGTTATTATTATTATTATTGTTATTATTATTATTATAGTTTTTGATATTATTATTATTATTGATATTTTTACTATTGTTGTTTTTGTTATTATTGTTAATATTATTATTGTTATTGACATTATTATTGATATCGTTATTATTATTATTATCGTTATTGTTGTCATTATTATTATTTTTATTGTTATTATTATTATTATTATTATTCCCCCCAGTGGTTAGGGGGAAGTAGAATAATCCCATAGTACTCCCTGCTTGTCGTAAGAGGCAAATAAAAGGTACTCTGTGAATTGCGTGTGAATGTTCTTGAACAGCTATTCCTTCCTTTTTTCTCTTATCATATATTTTTCTATTCTTTCTCTTAATCTCTAGCTTCCTTCCGTTCCTTTCCTTTCTATTTGGAATATTGCCACCCAAAAGTACATTACTCATGTTGGATAGTATAGCGAAAGGCAAAAGCGGGCGTGAGAGGGACACACTCCTCGGCAGTGTCAGGTGGTGGTAGGGCAGACCACCCGCCGTCGACATCCTGTAAGTACCAGGAGCTTGGTGTAGGCAACTTGGCCCCAGCTCTAGATAATTCATCGGGAAAGGCACCACAGGTAGGCGACCTGGCCTACAGTATGACGAAAACGCATGGAAGGGTAAAATATGACAATGGCCACTTGGACGTGTGGCGGAAAGCTGCCAGAGCCGTTGATGGCTTTCAGCTTTCCGGCTTTACCGCACCTATCCAGCCTGCCAAGGGGACAACCCAAGATGGAGAGAGTGAGAAACTCGCGCAAGCGAAATCCCTCCTTGCCAAAATGATTTCAGCTATTATTAGACAGCCTAACGTGAACGACGCTATTAAGCAATAGATCCCAGAACTGGAGGACATTATTGACAGTCTCGAGTTTATGTATAAAACTCGAAAAAATTACAATAAGGGAGCGAGGACACTCGCCCGATTTCTCAAAGCACTAGGGCAAACTCTATAACAAATGCTGGAGCGGTTAAAAGAGTAGCCACAAGCCCGCCGCAGTTACATAAAGAAAGCCTCAAAAGACCGAGGCATGAGATGACGATGTCCGAAGCCACCAAGTGGACGGGGATCGTCAAGAAAAAAAGAAATAAGGAGATACCACCGAAAAAGACGACGAACCTCCCACAATAGGAGAAAAAGAAGTCGAGCAAAGTGGAAGTCAGGCCGAGAAAGAGAACGAAGCCGGAAGCGATCCTCCTGAAACCTGCGCAAGGTAAATCTTACGCAGACGTGGTCGGAGATATCCACCAGCGCATCAAGACAAGCGCCGCAGGGGTAGACGTTAGATCGGTCCGGCAGACCAGAACCGGAGGGGTTCTCCTTGGACTAAAGAAGACCACTGCGGATATCAGGGCCTCATTCGCAGAAACCCTGAGAAAAGAAGGAGAAGAAACGAGCAGCATCACGGAACTGGTCCCTAAAGCTACGCTGGAGATACGGGACTGTGACTGCTGCACCTCTTCGATAGAAGTCGAGGAGGTCCTAAAGAGGAACTTGCCAGGCTACGCGGGGAAAATCGAAATTAAGATGACGAACCCCAACACAAGAGAACAACGCCTGACCATCCTCAAAATAGTAGAGGAAGCAGTTGCGAAGCTTTTAAAGGCCGGCCGAGTGCTGGTCGGTTTCGTCAGCTGCAGGGTCAGGCGAAGGGAAGAATTGAGGCGATGCTTCCGCTGTCTCGACTATGGTCACTATAGTGACTCGTGCGACGGACCTGATCGAAATAAGTCTTGCTATTCCTGCGGCGGCATGGGGTACAAGATCAAAGGGTGCAAGGTCAGCGAGCCTACGTGCTTCTTGTGCTCAAATGGCATTGTTGAAACTAGGAAGCACCAGGCGGGATCAAAGCCCTGCAAAGCTTTCCAGGAGACCCTTGCAACACCAAAGAATTAGAAAAAAGGATGAGAGTATTTCAGGGTAACCTTAATAGGAGTAGGACGGCGCACCACCTCCTGACCCAGCTCTGCTCTGAGAAACAAGCTAATATCGTTCTAATCAGCGAACAGTACCAGGACAGAACAGGAGTAGGATGGTACGCAGACCAATTGGGCACCGCGGCCATCTTGATCCCAGATCCCCGATGGATACATGTGTCGGATCAAGAATCCGGACGCGGTTACGTTTGGGTGAGAAATAACTTAACGACATATGTCAACATTTATCTCATCCCGAACGACTGGATAGACGACTTCCAGACCAAACTGTACGATCTGGAAGACGCGCTGCTGGAAATGCAAGGGGATTTCATTATGGCTGGAGACCTCAATGCCATAGCTTTGGAATGTGGGGAGACAAGGCCGGACTCCTGAGGAAGACGAATCATGGAGGTGACGTCGAGACTTGAGCTATCAGTACTCAACACAGGATCGATGTCAACCTTCCGCAGGACTGGCAATAGAGAGACGATCCCGGAAGTCTCTCTAGCCAAGGAACACCTTGTGGCAAGAGTCGCAAGCTGTCAGGTGTTCGAGGATTATAACGGGAGTGATCATCAGTATATCCTATTCGATGTACATGATAGAAGGCCAGCCGTGACAAGTGTAAAGCGACACCCCCGGTGGAACATTGCAAGAATGGATCGAGAGAGGCTGTATTCAGTCATAGATGAAGGTTGGTGATCCCATCAAATTGCCTCCACGAGTCTATCGCCAATTGCACAAACCAGGATGATTACTGCAGCAATTATGCAGCTCATCCAAAAGGCTTGCGCCATAGCGGTGCCCATGAAGTACACGAAACGACACAGGCTTCCTGCATACGGGTGTACGAATGAGATCGCAGATCTTCGCAAGAAGTGCTTAAGTCTTCGCCGTCTAGCACAACGAGCGAAGAGACGCGATTTCGATCCTGCTCCCTTGGCCGCATAGTATCAAGCGGCCATAAATGCTTTGAAGAGGACCATCAATGCCAGTCAACCACGGTGCTGGAAGGAACTGTGCCTGGATGTCGACCAGAATCCGTGGGGATTAGGGTATCCGATGGTCACTCGCAAACTGGGAACTAACACGCAAGAAATCCCTCAGGATGCGAGGACGTTCGAATACATCACTCATGACCTATTCGCCTCACATCCGGAAAGAGAGATTCGCACGGCGACGCCAGGTAGCCCTGAAGGGCCGCAATTTACAGAGGAGCTATTCAAGGCCGCATCTTCTATGCGGAGAAAAAAATCTTCAGGATCAGACGGTCTTCCAGCTGAAGTATTGAAAGCCGTCGCATAGAGTCGTCCCAAGCTCCTGCTAAACATGTACAACATGTGTCGTAGGGAGGGCATCTTCCCCGCCCAGTGGAAGAAAGCCAGACTTGGGCTCATATGCAAGGGCAAGGTTCCAGCAGATGCCGCATCTTCATACAGGCCTATTTGTATTCTCAATACAGCTGGCAAGCTCCTGGAGAAGCTGCTTAGGCCACGGCTGCACGCAGTCTTAAGGTCAGCGGGGGATCTTTCTGCCCGACAGTATGGATTCCGATTAGGCCTCTCCATCATCCAGGCAGTCCAGGAGGTCGTCACGGACGCTAAAATGACGGAGCGTGGGAACCATCTAACTCGCACTTTGTGTCTGCTGGCCACCTTAGACGTGAGAAGTACCTTCAACTCCGTCAGGCGGGACTTGGCAATGGAAGCGCTCGAACGTAATTTCAGCGTCCCGGAGTACCTACTCCGAATACTCGGGTACTATCTGAACGAGCGCTTTCTAGAATAGTAAGTACTGGTCATGGTCCAAGAAGCTTGGCGTTAACATTGTAGGCAGCCCAAGGATCCATACTGGGACCGGATATTTGGAATATTTTTTACGACGGTATCCTACACATAGCTGTCCCTGAAGGCGCTTTCTTGGTTGGGTACACAGATGATCTTGCTATGATCATAACCGCAAGAGACATGGAGGGGGCACAGCTGCTGCTCAACAAGGTCATTCGCATAGTCATCTCCTGGATGGAAGACCACGGGCTATCTCTAGGAGTCCAAAAGGCAGAGATCGCGCTACTTACGAAGAAGCGCATCAACACCTTGCGCAGCTTCATTGGAGGAGACACGGCGGTCCAGGCTAAGTCGGCTGTCATATATCTGGGTATAATGCTCGACAAAAGCCTTAATTATGGCGAGCACATACTCAGGGAAGCAGACAAGGCGGCAGAAGTAGTAGCCTCACTTGGCACACTCATGGCAAACGTCAACGGGCCCCGACCGTGCAGGAGGCGACTACTGATGCGTTCCGCCGAAGCAGTGATGCTATACGGCGCAGATGTCTGGGCCGAGGCGCTGCAAAAGGAGAAATATCGCAAGGGCATCGCCGCCGTACAGAGGAGGGGTGCTTTACGAATCGCGTGCTCCTACCGCACGGTCTCTGAGCCCGCGGTGCTAGTGATCGCGGTGGTAATCCCGATCGATCTATTAGCCCAGGAGAGACAATTCGTCCACCTGCATAGGTGTATTCTGGGAAAGGAGGAGGCATCAAGGCTCGACAGGTCTACTAGCATCGTGACCTGGCAAAACAGATGGGAACAGGAGCATCGGGGCAGATGGACGGCTCGACTCATCAGTCGGCTAGACAGCTGACTAAACAGAGAGGTGGGAGAGGTCGACTTCTACCTCACTCAATTTTTGGCAGGGCATGGTCTGTTCTGCTCCTACTTCTCAAAAATGAGGAAAGTAGCTGACTGCAACTGCCCGTGTGACGATTCGACCGTCGACGACGCCCACCACACATTCTTCGTATGTGTTAGGTGGAGCGTCGAACGACTCGCCTTGGAGCAAGTCCTCGGAAAAATCTAGCCAGACAACATTGTCGAGAAAATGCTCCGAGGTCAGAAGGAGCGGAACAAGGTGGCCCGATACGTCAGGACCACCTTGCGCAGAAAAAAGATGGAGATGGGTGGTACATAGACCTGTCCCAAACGTTGCTCCAAACTTCAGCCCCGTAGAGCTGAAGGGAAAGTCCCGTATCGAGAATTGATACAGTGGCGCCTTCCCGGAGTATTGCCACATGGCGGTGCCGGGACGGTTTCACTATGCCACTATGATGGACATGAGTTTAGTCGGTAGTGCCTATTCAAAAGGTGAACCCGACACTCCAGGGACCTTAATGGGGGATTCAAATAGTGAAGTGTTCCTCTGGCGGGGGGAGTCCCTGGGTTAGTGCGTAAAGACTGGCATTCTCAGACCATCAAAAAAAAATTTTTAGTATTATTGTTAATATTATTATTATTGTTATTGGTATTATTATAGATATTGATATTAATATCATTGTTATAGTTATTATTATTATTATTTTTATTGTTATTGTTATTATTATTATTATTGTTATTGTTATTATTACTTTTATTGTTAATATTATTGTTATTGTTATTATTATTATTGTTGTTATTATTATAATTATTGTAACTGATATTGTTATTATTATTATTATTGTTATAGTTATTGTTATTATGATTGCTATTGTTATTATTATTATTATTGTTATAGTTATTGTTATTATGATTGTTAATGTTATTATTATTATTGTTGTTACTGTTATTATTATTATTATTGACACTGTTATTATTATTGTCATTGTTATTGAAGTTATTATTATTATTGTTATTTTTATTATAATTATTATTTTTATAGTTATTATTATTGTTATTGTTCTTATTATCATTATTGCTATTGTTATTAACATTATAATTGTCATCGTTATTGCTAACATTATTGTTATTGTTATTGATATAATCATTATTATTATTATTATTATTATTATTATTATTATTGTTATTGTTATTATTATTATTATTGTTAAAGTTACTGTTATTATTATTATTATTGTTAAAGTTACTGTTATTATTATTATTATTGTTGTTGTTATTATTATTATTATTATTATTGTTATTGTTAATGATATTATTAATGTTATTGTTATTATTATTATTATTATAATCATTACTATTATTATTATTATTGTGATTGTTATATTATTATTGGTATTATTTTTATAGTTATTCTTATTATTATTATTTTTGTTACTGTTTTGTTAAAATTATTGTTATTATTATTACTATTGATATTACTATTATTATTTTTATTATTTTTGTTATTATTATTATTATTATTATAGTTATCGTTTATGTAATTGTTATTACTATTGTAATTGTTATTATTTTATTATTGTTATTGTTAGTATTATTATTATTATTATTGTTATTGTAATTGATATTATTATTTTTATTGTTAATGATATTATAACTATTGTTATAATTGTTTTTGTTATTATTATTGTTATTGTTATTGTTATAATTATTGTTATTATATTTTTCATTATTATTGCTATTGTTATTATCGTTGTTATGGTTATTATTATTATTATTATTATTTTATTATTATAAATATTGATATTATTATTATTACTATTATTATTGTTATTATCATTAATACTATTACTATTATAGTTATTTTTATTGTTACTGTTACTATTATTGTCATCGTAATTGTTATTATTATTGTTATTGTTATTATTATTATAGTTATTTTTATTGTTACTGTTACTATTATTGTCATTGTAATTGTTATTATTATTATTATTGTATAGTTATTATTATTATTATTATTGTTATTGTTAATATTATTATGATTGTTATTTATATTGCTGTTATTATTATAACTGCTACTATTATTATTATTATTGTTATTACTAATATTATTATTATAGTTATTGTTATTAATATTGTTATTGTTATTATTATTGTTATTGTTATTATTATTGATATTGATATTTTTATTATTATTGTTATTGTTATTATTATTATTATTATTATTGCTATTATTATTATTATTGTTAATGTCATTAATGTTAATATTATTACAGTTACTGATATTATTATTATTGGTATTGTTATTATTATTTTTATTGTTAATT